AACCATGAGCGGCCCGAACGTGAACCAGCCACTGACGTTTCGTTAGGAACCATTTGGCGCAGTTCCCGATGGAGCAGCGAAAGCCCTCACCTTGTCCAGCGGGGATCTCAGGTGGTGCCTCTTGATGGGGACCAGAAGTGCCTACAGGAGGGATGCTGACCGAGAGCCACGCGGCCCTGACGACCGAGGGGTCCAGCTCCGTGAACCAGTCCCGCAAGTCCCCCTCCTCGAGAAACTCCAAAGGGGCTCCTGACCAGGAACGCATATCCTCCTCAGTGTCCACAGACGTCCTCCGAAGCGCCTCGAAGTCCCTGACGTACTGGATGGCCCAGGGGTTCGCCGTCTCCGTGATATGGCCCTCGGGTGTAAGGGTTCGGAGGCCTCGCATTTTCTCGATGTTCATGTCCCCGAAGAGGGGGGCCCACTCGCCTAGATGTCGCGCGGGCTCCCGAGCCCATTGCTGGTACCACCGCAGACGTCTGACACGGAACTCGATCTCGAGAGGAGGGACCCGCCAATACCTCAAGACCGCCTCGGAAGGGACAGAACGAGCGTGGCCCCCCTCCCAAGACGTCGCGGCACCCCTCATAGCTTTGCGCCCGAAGAAGACGACCCGCGCCGTGAGCTGGTCAATCTGGCTGGGGGACGGCAAGAAGGCCTCGCAGGCGGAGCACGCAGGGCCCACGACCCTGGCCAGGAACACGGCTCGTCGCCCGGTGTAGGCGATCCTCCGAGCGTACCAATACTTTCCCATGGAGAAGAAACCCGCCGAGATGGCCGCCAGGCGGGCCGATAGCTCGGCCCGAAATGAACAGTTACCCATGACCTGGCCTCCAAGATGTCGGGTCGAGTCTGCTGGGGCCCCTGCAAGAAGAACCTTTTTTTCCGCCACTTCACGCCGCCGTGCATGTAGCCCCGTGCCCACGAAGGACAAGAGGCTGACGTTCTTGGCTGGGTTGAGCGCGTAGCCGTGGCGTCGGAGCTCAGCAGAAAGAAGCAAGTCGTATGCTCGGGACCACCGCGCGAGCTCCGCGGCCGTGGCCTGGTCGGGCGGCACCACGATCTTCCGAATGGCGTCATCTACGTATGAGTGAAAAGCCAAGTCAAGAAGAACCTCCTCACCGTCAAAATTGAGCGTGAGCTGGCACCAGGTAGCCGTCTCGGAGCCAAACTCTGCAAACTGTTCCTGCACCTTCGCAAAGACGGTGCTGATGTCCCGCACAAAGACTTTCACCGCCCACGGGTCGCCAATGAGAGCCCCGACGCTGGGGGGCACGCAGAGGTCGCCGAACATCACGGCAGCAAAGCGGAAACGCTGGCGGCCGAACGAAACATGGTCGTCCTTCATGATGCTCTGATTGGCGTCTGCGAGGCTGTCCCAGTTGGTGGACGCGAAGGCGTTGGTGATGTCCTTGAGGTCGGTGACGTGATTGAGGCCGAGGGAGCGCAGCTTCCATGTACACAGCTGCTGGCCCAGTATGGCCGTCTCTCTGCGCCGATGAGGTATGCAGCCATGAGCGAAAAGCGGTTCGTCCTGGAGCTCGTGTGGGTCCATAGCCGTGGCCATGAAGCCCTTGCCGAAAGGGTCGAGGAGGTGAATGACTCTCTTCCAGGTGAGCGCCACTCCTTGGCTCAAATGCCACACGAGCGGGACCTGGCCAGAACGTCGGAGCCTGTGGAGGAAGATCACCAAGAAACGCCACGTGTGCTCCTGGTCGATCTGCGGTGTCTCGTAGCCAACTCCGTGGTAGCGCCTGGACACGCGGCGGTACGGGTGAAGCAGCATCCACCATAGTTCCAGCGGGACCGACCACGGAGGGCAAGCACGACGCTTGGGAGCCCGTCGTAGCCAATCGCGAAGCTCGCTAAGACGGCGCTTGGCCCAGCTCAGGCCCTCCTCGGTCCACGGGGCGATGAACTGCTGCGCCTCCTGGCCCGTGACGTCGTGGTAAACGTAGTCCTCGGCCTGCTGGACCCAGTCGATGTGGGTGGCCGCCATGCCCCCTTCGCCAGCCGGCAGCGACCAGCGCTCGGCCAACTCCTCCCCAGTGGGGAGGGCCACAGGCGCCCGTCGGTAGTCTCTCTTGCGGGGGCCCACGCCTGTGCCAGCAAGAAGTCGGGAGAGGCGGGCCACCTCGGCGCTGCGTCCATGACGTCGGGCCTGGTTGAGCTCGTCGACTGTGTCGATTCGCCACGTAGCCCAGTACTGTCTGCGGGCCGAGCGGAGCCACTTGGTGTGGCGTCGGAGCTGCCACTGCACGGAGAGGAGGGCCAGCGCGCCGTCGGCGCCGTCCGAGAAGTGGTCGTCGCTGAGCTGGAGTCGGAGAGCCCGCTGTTGGTCCAAGAGCGGCTGGGTGGCGATGACCTGCAGCTCTCTACCCAATCGACGAAGCGGCCCCGCCGAGGTGATGTCGCCCAGGCAGGCCTTGGGCACGAATATGAAATCGATCTGCGAGGCCGTCGTCGAGCCAAAGTACGTCGGGCCCAGGCCTATGTAACTGTTGACCGCCACCATGCCAAGCTCCTCCATGAGGGGCAGGATGCTGGTCGCGGCGTAGCGCTGCTTGTCCAGCGCCAGCGGGCCGCTGACGTCGGAAGTAGTGGGTCGCCACTGGGGGTCGCCGTCGAGCTGGTGTAGTCCGAGCCCCGAGTTCAGGTCGATGCAGAAGATTGGGAGGACCCGCTTGGAGCTGAGGTAGGGCAGCGAGCGGAGCCAATCCGTGAGCGCGTCGCAGGTGCGGCGGTAGACGTCCTGGCCGCCCTTGACAGGCGGCGGTGGGTAGTAGGCCGAGCAGACGCCGAGATCGTACCTGGAGCACCTGGCGCGGAGCGCAAGCCCGCGCCCCGCCAGAGACCCAGCGGGCGTCCAAGTGTGCGTCACGGAGGCCTTCTTCACCTTGGCCCCCAGGAGGATGCTGCAGCCCGCGCTCTTGTTGGTATACGGCCCGCGAGCCCACCCACTCTCTAGACACCAGTTGTGATCTCCTGCCTTCCGCCAGCGGGCCTCCCAGGGTCTCTCACGTCCATGGCCCTTGGCGGTCGTGCCGTTCAGACACACGAAGTCGTAGGCTCGGCAGGCCTGTGCGATCGCGGTGAGCCTCTCACCGCTGGACGCGTGCAAGGGGTTATACTGGAGTACGCGAAGGCGGCTGCCGACCATCACGCGCACGAGCAGGAGCCAGCAGCCCACACTGAGACATCTAGAAGCCATCGGAAACGAGGTAAGATGTGAGGGGGATGTCTCTGAAGAGAGGCATGTGGGTGGTGTGGGAGCTGGGCGCCTGTCGCCCTGGGCATCTGTGCGGGCACTCCTGACCCAGATGCCTTAGGAGGAGGAGGAGGAGGAGGAGGAGGAGGCGAAGGCGGAGGCGGAGGCGGAGGCGGAGGAGGAAGAGGAGGAGGAGTACGAGCAGGCGGAGGATGAGAAGGAGGAGGAGGAGGAGGAGAGGAAGGAGGGGGAAGGGGGGGGGAGAGGAGGAGGAGGAGGAGGAGGAGGAGGAGGAGGAGGTGGAGGTGGGAGGAGGAGGAAAAGTACGAGGAGGAGGAGGAGGAGGAGGAGGAGGAGGAGGAATGGAAGGAGGGGGAGGGGGGGGGGTGGAGGAGGAGGAGGAGGAAGAAGAAGAGGAGGCGCGAAGGCGGAGGCGGGAGGCGGAGCAGAGGCGGAGGAGGAGAGGAGGAGGAGGAGGAGGAGGAAGAGGAGGAGGAGGAGGCGGAGGTGGTGGAGGAGGAGGAGGAGGAGAAGGAGGAGAAGGCCCGCGCGACCCGCAAGAACAGGCATGTCTCCCCACGCGGTATGGTACGTTCGGCACGAACGAGGCGGGGGGAACCGTTTCGTGGAGAACAGGGCCGCCCCCCAGGGCAAGCTCTCTGACCCGATTCGTGTTCTGACAGGCTTGGGGCCCGTGGAGGGCCTCGAGAGTCTGGAGGCGCCGAACAACAGCAGGACCGATTTCCCTCAGAACGAAACGCATCCTCCTCCTCCTCCTCCTCCTCCTCCTCCTCCTCCTCCTCTTCCTCCTCCTCCTCCTCCTCCTCCTCATCCTCCTCGTTATCATCATCAACAACAGCAGCAGCACCACCAGGAGCAGCAGCAGAGCATCGTCATCAGCACCAGCATCAACATCAACACCATCAGCATCATCAACATCATCATCATCATCAGCAGCAGCAGCAGCAGCAGCGTCATCATCATCACCGTCACCATCATCACCACCACCACCATCATCATCATCATCATCATCATCATCGCAATCACCAGCATCAGCATCAGCAACATCATCAACCTCATCATCCTCATCATCACCAGCAGCATCATCATCACCAGCAGCAGCATCGTCATCATCAACATCATCCGCACCATCATCAGCATCATCATAATCGTCAGCATAAAATCATGATGATGATCATCATCATAATCATCATCAACACCATCATTCCTCAGACCCATTCCTTCATGGCGATCAGTGGGCCAGTGGGGCGAAGGCCACGCCGGTGGGGATGCCGATCGGTGAAGATAATGCTTTTGTAATCCCCTGGCGCCTAGCGGTCGTTGCCCGAGCCATCCCCCCCCCCCTTGGGCAACGGTGGCGTCGTGCGCAGGGGTGGGCCTAGACACCTCCCACATGCTGGTGCTCGCGCCACACGATGGCGATCGCACCGCATCCCCCGCCCCGACGTGCCGCAGCCCGCCCACGCGCTACCGCTGACGCCCCCCCCCCCCCCGTATCGACCGCTGCTGGAACTGGTAACGTGAGAATCTCCGGGTGGGGACGGGATCGGTCACTTGATGTCCATAGGCGAACGAACAGCACACACCCATACCCATAGGGAGGTCGGAGGGAGAAGGACTGGCTGTGGATATGGGTGCGGGTTGTCGGACCCCTGAGGGGGCTCCCGTTCGAGCGGGGACCCCCATCCGACAACACGCACCCATAGCTCATTCCGTCCCCCCTATGGGTATGGGTGCTTGTTGATCGTTCGTCGTTCATAGGCGACGGCAGGCGACCCCGACTTCGCGTTCCAGGAGTTCGCGGAGCACTTCCTGGCCCTCCTGGAGGGCGGCCGCCTCGGCCCGCTGGAGGAGCTGCGGAGCGTGGACGCGGACCTGCTCAGCAAGGAGGCCACGCTGCCCAAGGGGGGGTCCACGCGCGTCGCCACGAGGCTCTTCCAGGGCGCGGGCGCGGAAGCCGTGGTTCGAAGGGCGCGGATGACGGTGGTGGACGCTGGGAGCCAGGCTCGAAGAATCAAGCGGCGAAGCGTCCTGACTTGCCTATAGGCCCACCAGGACGCGATCTGATAACATGTGCGGGTTTGCACGAATTTCTCTCAGAACGCTTCTGGCTGAGGCAGCCTTGGTTTGATACACAGGTTGTATGGTCGAACATCCTGGTGTGCGTTATGAAAACCTTTGTCAGTTCTGAACGAACGTCGTGATAGGCCCATAGGAAGGCTGGGACGGTCGATCCCTGCTTAACCAAAATCAAATGCATCATTTTTCTGAGGTCCGCGCGGATGTCTGGGATCGGCGCCGGGCCCCGAAAGTTTATCTTTATGCAGTCATCAATTCCTCTGCAGGTGCAGGCGTTCAACGCGGTCGTCTATCCAAGCCCAGCCCTCGAGCTTCCAGTGTTGGGGATCGACTTGATCCGCCTCCCTGGGGGGCTGTTGGTGGGCATGGACTTCTCGCCCCTGTCGAGGGAACCAGAGTACCTCCGGCAATACTGCGAGACCACGCTGGGGCCAATCGTGGCCAAGTACGAGCAGCACGAAGGGCTACTCACGAAGCCGAGCACCAGGTTCTACGGCGAGGACCCCGAATTCTTTAGCCCCGCGCTGTTCTTCAGCCGAGCCCCGGTGTCTGAACTTGCATCGGGTGGAACTTTGGTTTCTGCCTTCAAAGAAATCTGCGACGCCTACAGCGCCATGCTAAAGGGCCATGACAGGGCCAAGCCCGCCGTCACCCTGTCCCGGCCTGGCGAGGTGAGGTGGCAGCACACGCGCTACGATGCCTGGCACAAGCCACGCGACCCCGCGGTGAACATGTTTACGCGCTTCTTCGGCCAGGAGTGGACCGAGACCTTCGTAGACCAGGTGCTGTTCCCCTGGGCCAAGGCTCTGAAGCGGCGCTCTGGCCCGCTCTTGGGCAACACGTCCATCCTGGCCTGCATGCGCAAGGAGTCCTTGAAGCTCCACACCAGGGCCCAGGCTCCTGCCGACGGGCAGGCGCCCGAGAAGAAGCGCGTGCCGATGTCGCAGCGCACGGTGACGAAGGCATCCATGCTCCAGTACCTGGTGGACAGCAAGGTCGTCTACGAGTCGTTCGAGGCCGCGGTGGCCGCGAACGAGGACTGCGCGCAGCTGCGCGACACGGGGCTCGAGCGCGTGGAGGTGCTGCAGGAGGATATCGGGGACATGTCGAGCCGAGAGGGGCTCGAGGTGCCTGCGCCATCCGAGGCCGCCGCCGAGTACGCCGCCTTCGTGGGCGAGCTGGCGTCGCAGGACACGCCCCGCTTCCTCTGCCACTGGTACAACCACCACCTGGCGCACACCGCGGGCGGCATGATGATCTACTCCATGGCGCGCAAGAAGGCCTTCGGGGAGGACGGCGGCCCCCCGCTCGGCTTCTGGACGAAGTACCCCAAGGCGGGCGCCTCGAACGACTACAAGGAGCTGCTGAACGACGTGCGCCTGCGGATCGAGGCCTGCGCCAGCGCCTGGGCGGGCGAGCAGCGCCTGGCATGCACCCAGGAGACGCCGGCGGCTTTCGAGCGGAGCGGGGGGCTGCTCGGGTCCCTGTGGGCCGAGGCCTGAGGGCGCACCCGCAGGCTCTGGGCGGTACCCGGGCGGGTTGCGCACGGCCGCGCTCTCCTGAGTTCCGACGAGAGGAGGAGGAGGAGGAGCAGGGGGAGGAGGAGGAGGAGGAGGAGGAGGAGGAGGAGCAGGAGCAGGAGCAGGAGCAGGAGCAGGAGCAGGAGCAGGAGCAGGAGCAGGAGCAGGAGGAGAATAGGAGCAGGAGGAGAATAGGAGGAGGAGGAGGAGGAGGAGGAGGAGGAGGAGAGGAGGAGGAAGAAGAGGAGAAGGAGGAGAAGAGGAGGAGGAGGAGGAGGAGGAGGAGGAGGAGGAGCTGCGATTCCGGCCCGCACCCGGGGCCCGGGGCCACCTCCGGCGAGAGCGTCACTCCTGCGCGTGGCGCGTGGCCGCCAGGCCCCGACATCCGCCGCTCCGACCTCTTTTCTCCGCGGCATAGAAGCCCCGACCGCTTCCCGGGGGGGTGCTCGCGTCCCAACCCACCTGGAGGCCCCCCCCGTGGCCCGAGAACCAATCCCGAGGCGGAATCGCGCTCCTCCTCCTCTCTCCACCCCCCCCCCCTTCGACCCCCCATCTCCTTCCTCCTCCTCCTCTCCTCTCTTCTCCTCCTCCCCTCCTCCTCCTCTCCTCCTCCTCCTCTCCTCTCCTCCTCCTCCTCCTCCTATTCTCCTCCTGCTCCTATTCTCCTCCTGCTCCTGCTCCTCCTCCTCCTCCTCCTCCTCCTCCTCCTCCTGCTCCAGTCCTTTCCCGCCGCTGGCGGCCCTCCCACAGCCGCGCACCAAAGGCCAATCTTGCCCATGGTCACCCCTGCGTGTGGTCGCGACTCCTGCCCAGGCACATCGAGCACGATGATTTTCTCCCGACCGCCTCGCCGGAGTGGCAATGTGTGCGCGTGCGTGTCATTTTTCCCGGGCGTCCCTGGCGTTCAGGCGACTGCCCGAACGGGTCGGTGCACGGGTCGCTAAGGAGCACCCGCAGCAGACGCCGGCTCCATGAGAAAACAGTTTGTCGCCGCTTCGTGCCACCCGCGTGCCAGAGACGGAAAGGGAGAGGCGAACGCCGATGTTCGATCACATTCGTACGGGGGCAGGGTAGTCCTACCCATGCGCTTACTATCCAGGGAAGGGGGGTCAAAAGGTTCGCCTCGAAGGCGTGGTGCGGCCTAGATTCACGGATAGAACGACGCACCCAGACCAGGTTTTCGTTGGTATTGCATGAAGCCAGGTTTGATGCTTCAAGCCTTGTAGCCGTCCACGATTTGTTCGTTCATTGTGGTGGCACTGCTTTTTTTGGAAGAGCGCAACTATCGACGTATACTGACACCAGATCCCATTATGTCAACGATATGGGTCTGGTTGCCTCTTTCGTTCTGGTGGGGGGGGGCAGCCTCGTTTCGTTGTTAGTCGGTGTGATCGCCGCTTGTTCGGCTGGGAGGTTCGCGAGCGCCTTCCTGGGAACTAGATCCTCGCATCCCTTTCTCCGTATTCAGCACAACTCTCCTACTCATGTTTTTCTCGTTCTCTCTCACTCATGCTCATATTCCCTCCCTCTCGTTCTTCTTCCCTTCCTGTTCACCCTGTCTCGCCCAGCCCTCATTTTCTTCACCTGGCATCCATAAGCGTGTCACACAAGTGTCCAGGAGTGTGGAGCCCCCCCACCCCATACCCCCAGCCAGGGGCCGCTAACAAAAACCGTTCTGATTTTGTCGGTACGTAAGAGCCCTGTGTGGTAGGAGGAGGAGGAGGAGGAGGGGGAGGGGGAGGAGGAGGAGGAGGCGGAGGAGGAGGAGGAGGAGGAGGAGGAGGAGGAGGAGGAGGAGGAGGAGGAGGAGGAGTAGGGGGAGGAGGAGGAGGAGGAGGAGGAGGAGGAGGAAGAGGAGGAGGAGGATCAAGATGGAGAGGACAAGGGGAGGGATGCATTCACTTGCCCCCAGGTGCTTTTAGATAGAGGTTCTGGCATATTTGGGGGGGCCCTGAGGGTCTTTGGATGAGGGGGGAGGAGGTGGAGGTGGAGGAGGTGGAGGAGGAGGGTGACGACGACCCATACCTTCGGTGTCGGGCCCTGGGAGACACTCGCCCGACACTGTGTTGACACTGTTTCGATACTCTTTTGACACTTTTCCGGGTGCTCGAAATTATTTCTGGGATGTGGTCGTTAAGTAGGATGGGAACGACATAGCCCCCAGGAAGGCCCGGAAATGCAACATGCGTTGATTCTCACAGGGCTCCTTGCTTGGTTCTTGCTCGTCGTGCCAAAGCCTTCATGCCAGCAGGGCTCCAAGACACCAGCCAGCGACCTTGCGCCCTCGCAGAAGCAACCCGCGCTTTCCGTCCCTATGCCAAGCAGGTCCTGGCATGCGGGATCTAATTCCCTTCGCGCGTATCCTCGGGGGCCCCTCAGCGGTGTGGTGATTTCGAGCAAAAAAACTACAGAAGCCTAATCTGTCCGACGTCCTTGCGAATTTCCTGGATCCACGCTAGACCCCCCGTGCGGATCCCAGAAGTTTGAGCTATACGTAGCACACCGCAGATGCGGATCAGAGTGAGGGGGCGGTGGGGACGTCGGCAGTTTGCGAGACTATGGAGAAGCCCGCCGTAGGCGCCAAAGTTTCACAAATTATACAACGAGCCCGCCGCAGGCGCCGATTTTTTGTTAAACCAATGTGGGTAGGTCGCGGGTGGGTCGTTGTTGGGTCGCGGGTGGGTCGCGGGTGTAGAGAGCAGAGAATTTACCCCATAATAATCACACCGACAAGCGAAGCCGTTTAGTAAACGCCCACAAGGAATGAATCGAACAGGACAGGGCTGTTTAGTCAACGCCCAAGGCCGTGTAGTAAACGTCTATTGTCGGGTCCTGGTGGTTTTTCCTCCCTTGAGGGTGGGTCGCGGGGTCGGTCGCGGATGGGTCGCGGGTGGGTCGCGGGGTGGGTCGCGGGTGGGTCGCGGGGTGGGTCGCGGGTGGGTCGCAGGTGGGTCGCGGGTGGGTCGCGGGCTGGGTCGCGGGTGGGTCGCGGGGTGGGTCGCGGGTGGGTCGCGGGTGGGACGATGACAACAACAAACAACAACAACAACAACAACAACAACAACAACAACAATCATTTTACCCGAACGCTCAGTGTTCTCACCAGTGCCAGGGTTTTCATGCGACGCGAGACAATACCCCCACTTCGTGGGGGGCAGTTCAAGCTCTACCAAATATCCAAACGACTCTTCGCGACCACCCAAACCCAGCTTCCCGCCCTATGACGTTGGGACACTTCACTTCGTGGCGTGCGGACGACCGTGGCTACTACACTGGCGTGGGGACACACCCACAGAACTTCGCTTGGTCACTTATTCGGGGCGCGCGTGTGCCCAGCATCCTGCAATTGTGACATACAATACATGACACAGACAGACAGAGAGAGAGACAGAGAGCAGACAGAGAGAGAGACAGAGAGAGCGGAGTTGGTCACATTTTTGGGCAAGTTCCTGAGATCGTCGTGTTTTTTGTTGGTCTTGCGCGCGCGAATGTCCACTTTACATTTTTTTTGCAAGGGATTATTGAAATTTGATTATGTTAGAACAAGAAAATGTAGCTCGCGCGAGCTCATGTAACACAAATGTTGAAAAACCATTGATTTTGTGGGAGTCGGACAGCGCGCGCGGGATGAAATTTGGACATTTTTTTTTGAAAAACCATTTGGTTTTTGATGTTTTTATGTTGAAATCGCTACGAAACCTAAGGTTCTGGAAGGATTTCGTCTTGCGCGCGCGAATGTCCACTTTACCTTATTTTTTGCAAGGGATTATTGAAATTTGATTATGTTAGAACAAGAAAAAGTAGCTCGCGCGAGCTCATGTAACATAAATGTTGAAAAACCATTGGTTTTGTGGCATTCGGACAGCGCGCGCGGAAGGACATGTTGACATTTTTTTCTTAAAAAACCATTGGGTTTTTGATGTTTTTATGTTAAAATCGTTACGAAACCTAAGGTTTTGGAAGGATTTCGTCTTGCGCGCACGAATGTCCACTTTACCTTATTTTTTGCAAGGGATTCTTGAAATTTGATTATATTAGAACAAGAAATGTCATTTTGTAGTGTTTTTTGCAAGGGAAAACGGATTACAACAAAACAACCGGATCCGGGCACAATCCACTTTTCTGAAGCTTTCGCTAGAAAATGAAGGAAATGAGGCTGCGGCCTAGGTTTTGGAGGGGGGTCGCGCACCAGGGGTCTCAACAATAATATTTCTTTAGAAGTAATAATGTTCAACAACAACAACAACAACAACAACAACAACAACAATTACTAGCACGTGGGGACACTCCGTTCTCACCAGTGCCAGGGTTTTCATAGGAGGCGGGCAATACCCCCACTTTGTGGGGGGGCCGGTTCAAGCTCTACCAAATTTCCAAACGACTCTTCGCCACCACCCACACCCAGCTTCCCGCCCTATGACGTTCGGACACTTCACTTCGTGGCATGCGGACGACCGTGGCTACTATTCAGGGCCCCGCGGCCGACGACGACGGCGTGCGCGCGCGAAGAAAAAACGAATGTGTCCCGCATGGTATTATTTGACAGGGATGATGGCCCTGGCAGGTGCGCAACCGTTGTTGCAGAAGTTCGAAAAAGTTGCTCGCAAAAACCCGTTTGACAGAAATGTTTAAAAAGTGTTGGGTTTCCTACAAATCCGCAAGAGCGCGCGGGATGAAATTTTGACACTTTTTTTTTTTGAAAAACCATTGATTTTTTGATGTTTTTATGTTAAAATCGCTACGAACACTAAGGTTTTGGAAGGATTTCGTCTTGCGCGCGCGAATGTCCACTTTACCTTATTTTTTGCAAGGGATTCTTGAAATGTGGTTATGTTAGAACAAGAAGAGACAAAAAATACAAAAAAAAGTTTCCATTTTTTTAGTGTTTTTTGCAAGGGAAAGCGGGGGGAACAAAACAACCGGATCCGGACATAATCCACTTTTCTGAAGCTTTCGCGAAAAAATGATGAAAATGTAGCTGC